ACTCGCAGTTGCCTTCATCTATTGTTTTTTAATGTTTCTCACAATACATTACTGACTTCAAGAGATCTGTATTGAGTCACTCATAACTGAGATTGAAATTTGTCTAATAACAATTTGCAATTAGTTATCAGATAGTACAAAAATCGTGGGAATTCAGCCAAACGGGTGAGTTGGCAAGGTCGTCGACTATACCTGCTATGTATTGCGATAGAATGGTTCGAGACAATACCTATTTTTATCAAGAATAATACTTTCTTCTGAGATATCAATTAAAACGCATTTAGAAGCTGGAAAATATTTACATGGATGAATTCATTGTAACTATAACGAATATGAAGAGATTCCAGGCAAACATACAAACGATTTTCATGATGTTGAAATTACCTTTTTTTAATTATCAATCCATGCTAAGTTGACTTTGTCCAAATAGAAAAATGTGGTGATAAACGATTTGTTTCTCTGCTTCATATAATTCTTGTGCTTTTCTTACATTCGATTGCCAGTGAAGCGAAATGAAAATAGGACAAGCAACAGTCAATCGATCAAACCACACTGCTAAAGTAACAAGTATACACTTCTTATTAAAAATAACGCAGATTAATCATTAATAGCTCACCCTCAATAAAAATTATTCCCTTCACTTTTTAGTCTAATAACTTTACAATAATGTTATTGGGTTAAATATATAAAATTCATATGAAAAAATACTAAATTCCATGGTATTGTGTCCAAATATGGAAGAAAAACTTTGAAAAGAACAATTTGAAGAAAAGAATTTACGAAAGAAAATTTTTTAGAGAACATTAGATACTATTGAACAGAAAAAGCGTGAATAGCTAGCAGCTCTCATAGATATGATTATAGTTATAAGATAGCATATAAATAAAATCAAAATTTTATATTAGAAGTGTAGCACCATAAATTAATGAAATGAAGATAACACATGAAGGAAAACAAGCGAATACGATTTCGTCATAATGAGCGGAGAAAGCTTTTCAAGAAAATCGTTGAGATTTAGTTTATTCTTATCAAAATCCGATTCGAGTAAATAAATTTGTTTGTTAAAGAACAACACCTTTTGAATACAGAATGTAACAGCGAATACGAAAAAAAGTAAATGGAACCCCATCAGTCATAATAATCTCAATATTAAACTAGTCAAGCAATCGTAGAATGAATCGATATCATTAAAGATTTCCTCACTGAAAATTTGATGTGATAAAATTCGAGGTTCAGACATTTAAATAAATCCATTTTGCACATTATATTATGAGAACTAAAAAGATTTTCTAACTGTTTATCCACATTTTAAACTATATATTGAATAAAAAGAGAGAAAGGAAAGAAACATATTTTCTGATCAGTTATTCAATCATTCATCGTCAATTTGGATTATACAACAATGTCTCATTGTTTTTATTGACGACATCGGTCAAACAGAAGACATGAATATGTTTATATTTATAAGCTAAAGAAAATAGGTATAGGTGCAGATAAACATGGAACATTCATTTATTGAATTGAATGATTTACCTGACGAAATTCTTCTAATTATTCTGAAAGATTTGCACAATGTCAAAGTACTCTATTCTTTAATAGATGTTAATAAACGACTTAATACAATTGTAAATTATTTGATTTCTACAAAATATTTAACATTAAGGACGTTTTTCTCTGATGGTTTATTATATCGATTTACTAATACAATACTTGATCGATTTTGTCTTCAAATTTTATCTAAAATTCATCATAAAATAGAATTTTTCGATCTTGAATCATCATCTATGGAACGTATTCTACTTTCAGCAAATTATCCTAGTTTACATGGACTTGGCTTATATGATCTTGCAACAGAAACACCAAAAGATCTCTTCACTAGTAAGATATGTATTTCTCTAATTCTTCCAATAAATAATTATTGAAAAACATTAAAATATTAAAATAATTTATCTGAATATATACTTTTTAATCAGAATTTGAGTATTATGGATATTTTTTTAATAGGATAATTAGAAATATTTTGGATTGTCTCGAGATAAAATTCTTAAACACTAATTTTCAAAACAGAAACTATAGTATAAAATGAATGATTAAGATAAATATTAAGGAATGTTAAAGAAGATCACATATATTATATATGAGAGAATTATTAATAAGAGCAAAGAAAAACAAATGCTTTAATGAATAAAACAAAATGTAATAAATCATCCAACATCCCGCTTCTCTCAAAATAGAAAGCTACGTCCGAACAAAAGTTCATCGGCCCTATTAGACGGTCATACACCAATTAATTAATTACAAAATAGTGAATTTTTTCAAAAATATAACTTAGTAATTAGTTAGATATCGGCGTGTTTCTCAGAAACCGTTCCGTATTCTACCATTCACACTATATTTTATATGGAAACGGCAGTTTTTCCGTGAAAAATTCGAAAAACATTAATTTATGTTATTAATTAATTATAACTAATTATTATAGTTTGAAAGATTTTTAAGTAATAATTGGTCAAAAGTTGACCTCAATAGACAGTCACCCAAAAAAGAAGCAATGTGTAGAGACACAATACAAGGGATGCCTTTTATTTTTGAGTGGAGGTTAATACACATTTTCAACGTTTATTTAGATGAAAAGGTTTTCATTCTTTTTTTTCAAAAATCAAATTTCATCACTTGCTATTGATATTAATAAATGTGGAGATCGAAACTCAATCCAAGATATTAATAGATTTATATATACACAAATCTTTACTATGTTCAGTAATTTACAATATTTAAACTTTGGTCCATCTTCTTCTGCTTATCATCGATTATCATTTAGCTTCTCGTCTCCAATCGTTTTCTCTTCAACTCTATTGGGGTTACATATCATAGTAGACTCATACAAAGATTGTCTTTATTTGCTCGATGGTCGTTTCAATCAACTTCATACGTTGTATGCTACCATTTATGCTATAGTTCCTAAGTTGTTAATGATCCATAATGAAGTAAGTTACTCATATAAAAATCTTTTTTTATTCGAATGAATTTTTAATATTTTTATGAATATTGATTATGTACCCTTTCATCTTCTAGAAGAAACTTCCCAATTTAAAATGCTTCTCGCTTATTCATAATTTGATGATAATTGGCTACGATGATTTTCTTGTTCCACTTTTACGTAGAATGTCGAGTTTGAAAAAACTCAGTTTGTATTTTGTCTATCATAATGGACGAATTATGGATGGTGATGAGTTGAAAAGAAATATTTTGAATCATATGACATGATTAAACAAATTTACATTTGATATTTGCTCAATTATTCCTCGTGCTAATCAAATTAACATACCGTCAAATAAAGATATTCAACAAACATTCAGAAATTTTAAAAGTAATCAAACTATTTCATGTGTTAATTATTTTCCAGAGGCAAACGAATATCATTGTCATATTTAAGCATATCCAGAGACATTAACACATTACCATAACATAACGAATAACTTTCCTGGTGGATTATTTAAATGTGTTCGTAAAGTATCATTATATGATGAAAGTCCCTTTGAACATGAATTTTTTCTTCAAATTGTCCCATCATTTCCATTTATGGAAAAATTAACCGTGCATAAATCAGAAATCACACAAGAATGACAATCAACAATGGTCAATTATTGAATGTCTTCATCTTACTGAGCTTGATCTTGTTCCAACGCATGAAAATTATGTCGAAGAATTTCTAATCAATAGTAAAACGCATTTACTAAATAATGTTACACTTCATATCACTTACGAATCTTTACAGAGAGTAGCGCACAATTTTACAAGAGATGCCACACGGATTAATTGTTCCAAAATGTACTATATAGTTTTATACAGTAAACCAGAATCTTTTCAATATTCAAAAGACTATTTTCCTAATGCAAAAATAGTTTGATTATTATCAGCGACTATTAGAATAAAACTTCAAGGAAAGAAGAAAAGAAAGTTATTTTATATTTTGTAGAAGAGAAGAAAAATGTATGTATCTCAAAATGATCATGTATGGTTATAGGTGACTTATATCTATAATAATAAAGCTACTTTGGAAGAGAGGAAGAAACTTTATCTAGTATTAAATTTGTTAATCTAATTAAGAGGGCCTCCTCAAAAAATCAATTTTACTAAAAAAGTTCACTTTTTGAGATAAACATTTAAATATGACTCCCGAAGTCTCTAGTTTTAAAATTCATGGAAGTTAATTTCGATTTCATAGGATTTCTGCAGAAGTCATGATGGGTTTTCGGAACTCCCAAACAAAATGACAGCTATGTACACTAGTTGGAAAATCATAAGCTCAATTGTAGCTATCGCG